TCCACTGCTGCATGAGGGCCTCTGCATGCTCTGCAGGTAGTGGGGATTTTCTTTGACCCCTGCTTCACGCTGGTTATTGCAAGGTTGGTCTTCGCAGGGGAGCATAGACGTGGGAACACATTACACCGGATATTTATTACGCATTGTTCTCTGCTGCCCACTACCCAGCACAGGCATCACATTAAAGCTCTAAATCAGCTTCAACACTGATTAGCTTCCGAAATCTGGACGTATCCCCACCGATTTGGTCAGAGGCTGGTTTTCCATACTATGAACCAAATGTGCTAATCTGTAACATTTTACCATCACTTCTTTTAACTGAACGGACTTACGAGGTTGCAATTTACCAGTATCTAAATATCACTCTTTATCGTTAAATGACTCTGTGCTGGCTACAAATTAGTCACAGCACTGCAATATAATATAGAACACTCTCTGGTTAGCGCACTCTCTGTGAACCTGGCAGCGAGCAGTTACATTTCTGGCCACGGCTAACATCAGTGGCCAGTGATAGCTGAACCTGTCCTGAAAGCCTGCCTCCCCAACCACACACTTATTTTTCCGCAAACCGCACTGACAAGCGTGATGAAGTAAGGCCGAACTGCCCCCATGACTGACATGGCATGGGGAGACTTTCATCCAACGGTGGGTTGAAAAGGGGCAGTGATAACTTTTTTGAATGAAAATACTGTCGTAATAAATGAGACACAGATAGATGAAAACGTGGTTTAGAGAACATTAGGTCCAGACGTTATGCAATCTGTTAAGTGTGCATGAGCAGGACTCATCCCTATAAGGTATGATGTCTTGGTGGTCAAGAATAGTGATGGAGTGGCAGCCAAGGAATGGAACGCATCAGAGAGAGCACATCCACCGAGGAGATGGAACATTGAAATAAATTCACGTACAGGTGACTAGGTGGATTATTACATCGCAGCACCATGAGATTGAGATGACAGTGGCTTTGGGGGATTACACATGGGTGCATAACGAGGATGAAAAATATAGCAGGTAGCACACGTAGTCAACTTGAACTTGTAACGTCACATTCAGACGTGTAAGGCGACACTGGGGTGGCAAATGCGCTTGAAAAGAGTGAGCCCTTTGTGAAATGAGCCAATGAGTGAGTGTGTGTGAGTGCCGTGACTCAGGGGCCCAAGCCCTCTCACTGCACGTGGTAGCATACAGTGCAGAACTAAACAGGGTAAGCCACCAGATAACGTTAAGATACGGAGAGGATTACCGGACTTGTTTGGCTTCCCCACCCTCAACAACCCATGCTCACCCGTGTGGGGAAGTATGATCACCGTAACTCCCGTGACCTACATGCCATGGGCAGGCCCTCATCCAGCAGTAGATTGACAACAACGAAAATCCCCAAACACCAAATTCTCGTATCCTTGCACCAATGAAAGATGTGAGGCTTATTCAAATATTGTAGTTTTCACCCCAGCCTGTAATGTTAACAACACTGTATGCTTAAGATTATGTACATACAATTACAAAATAGACATGAACTCATACAGCAAAATTCTTTGTATTATTGAAACACGTGTTTATTAAAATTTCCCTTGCCTTGTACATAGTTAAAACGAATTCAGGTTTGGTCAAAGCGTGTGTACGTTACAGACAGCTGCTGTGACACAATGGACAAAATAAATAACCGCACTTTAAATGCACACTTTAGTGTTGACGTATAACAACTCTTTTATAACTTGGGGGGGGTGGGGGGTGGGGAACAAAAACCCGACGGTCATCCTCGACCGGTGGCCAAAGTTCATGTCAATAAGCAGCAGCAGCAACACAATTGTCGACACACAACTGTGATACCACCACTACCAGAGTGTGTGGCTGGCACTATACCACAAAGCCAGCTAGAAAGATTTAAGCTGCGTACCGATTAAAGGGGGGGCTCTTCCCATGTGGTAGAATAAGATTGGTGGTGGGGGGGGTGCATCAAATATCGGCTCGAATTCAGGTCCTGATAAACGTTAATTTATATTAAACGTGAATTAATGCCTCTGATATTCATCATCTGTACATCCCTTTCTGTCATTGTCCCCCCCACCCTCTCCAATGAGCCAGCCATCAACAACAATAACAACCACCACCACCTGCACTTCCAAACACGGCCAACACCAGTGAAGACTGTGTGGGACCGGTCCCTGGGCATCCCCTCGGTCGACTCGGCCTCAAATGAGTGGCCTGGTGCGGTGGGTGGTGAACATCGCCACTGGGGAGACAAAGGCGGCCGGGCGTGACGACGGCCACCAACACCGCCTGTGTTGTACCGTGCCAGCCTGCAAATGTGCTCGTTAACAGCACTTGCCCTCGACGTTTGTTTATAGATACCCGACTGATTACGGAATGACACTTTCCTCTCCACGGCTGTTTGACAACAATATTGAAAGTCAAGTGGCAACAACGTGCATCAATCAGGAGCGTGCCAAGCTATTTGATACGCGTATTGAGATTGGTGGGCAATGTCGAGGCTTTGAAATACAATTTAGCTTTCTAGTGAACTTCCTCCCCTATAAATGGACCACACTACAGCAGACAATTAGGGCCCATGAAGACCACGAGATATCAGGATATCTTGAGTTATGTGGACATTTTCCTGAAGGGACCTCCGTGCCAGAGGGCGAAATTGAAGTTTATCTGAATGAACATCATCAAGTGGCACACATACATACACACACTGTTGGGGTTACCATGATGATGATACCCCCTCTTCCCACCCCACGCCGTGTTGGACATGGGGTGGTGGTTTTTGTTGTTGTTGTTTGACCCTAAATCACCAGGCAGGTCAGTGGGTTCAGATTGTAGCCGTGGCCAGGAATCGAACCCGGGGTCACCGGGCTCAGAGGTCAGTGCCCGAACCGCGACACCACACATCAAGTTCAAGTTCACACATCACGCAAAGCTGAAAATAGTCCACGTCGGGTTAATGTTACCGAGCTACGGATGTATATTCCAGAAAGGCTTGCTCACATTTGGCTACAATAACAGTCTTTATAACAAGACATCCAAAATGTTCGAAGTTGTATGAGACACAAACAATATGGCAGGGCGCCGTTCGTGAACGAAGTCACCGACCATTGAGTGTGGCGTTAAAGCCGACACAAAGTGGGATGAGCTGGCTTACAAGTTATAAACTTATACAGTCCAACATGCTGGCGTGGACTCATTCACACCAGGGTACAGTTTTACCGTCTGCACACACACACACACACCATAAACATAACTTCCAAAACTGCCGGATACGAGACATACACCAACCACGTGTCTACACACACACACCACAAGTCACACATGGATAAAAGACACAACTACAGAATTATGCACACGACACATACCAAAGGCCACACTACACACACACACATTACAAGCGCACTATAATTAGTACAGTACTGTAGACCACACGATACACACACACACACTACATACCACACACTATTCACACACCGCCGATGGAGGCCACATTGCCATAACTTCCCGTTCCAAGATACGCAGCCACACACGCAAACTACGTGTCGACTACGAATACCACTCACACACAATATAGACCAAACTACACACACACACGTGCTATAAGATCACCGTACCTACAAGGCGCACGTGGCCACGTGTCTGCACACACTACAGACACAACCACACACACTACAGACCACACTGTCTACAAGACACACACGCCACGTGTCTCTACACACACTATAGACACAACCACACACACTACAGACCACACTGGCTACAAGACACACACTCTAGACACAACCACACACACACTATAGACCCCACTGCCTACAAGACACACACGCCACGTGTCTCTACACACACTATAAAGTCACACACCATAGACACAACCACACACACACACTACAGACTACACTGTCTACAAGACACACACGCCACGTGTCTCTACACACACTATAAAGTCACACACCATAGACACAACCACACACACACACACTACAGACCACACTGTCTACAAGACACACACTCTAGACACAACCACACACACACTATAGACCCCACTGTCTACAAGAGACACGCCACGTGTCTGTACACACACTATAAAGTCACACACTACAGACACAACCACACACACACACTACAGACCACACTGTCTACAAGAGACACACGCCACGTGTCTCTACACACACTATAGACACAACCACACACACTACAGACTACACTGTCTACAAGACACACACTATAGGCACAACTACACACACACACTAGACACAACCACACACACTACAGACTACACTGTCTACAAGACACACACGCCACGTGTCTCTACACACACTATAGACACAACCACACACACTACAGACTACACTGTCTACAAGACACACACGCCACGTGTCTCTACACACACTATAGACACAACCACACACTACAGACCACACTGGCTACAAGACACACACTCTAGACACAACCACACCCACACTCTAGACACAACCACACACACTACAGACTACACTGTCTACAAGACACACACGCCACGTGTCTCTACACACACTATAGACACAACCACACACTACAGACCACACTGGCTACAAGACACACACTCTAGACACAACCACACACACACTATAGACCCCACTGCCTACAAGACACACACTATAGGCACAACTACACACACACACTACAGACCACACTGCCTACAAGACACACAAGCCACGTGTATCTACACACATTATAAAGACACACACCATATACACAATCACACACACACTATAGACACACGTGTCTGTACACACACTATAAAGACACACACCATAGACACAACCACACACACACACTACAGACAACCACACACACACTACAGACCCCACTGTCTACAAGACACACACGCCACGTGTCTGTACACACACTATAAAGACACACACTACAGACCCCACTGTCTACAAGACACACACGCCACGTGTCTGTACACACACTATAAAGACACACACACTAGACACAATCCCAACCCAAAGAGATCATCATCTCACCGTTGACAGGAGAGGTTCCAGCACCGGCGTTCCCCGATGCTGCGCGTCTCTCCGCTCGTAATCCATGCCGCCCGCTGCTCGCCACCGACTCCTCTGAACCCTGAGCGGATGGTGATGATGATGGTGGTGGTGCTGCTGATGATGATGATGAGTAACGACGTCGGTGGGAGATCGCTGATGACGATAAACGTAGAAGCAGGACAGCGAAAGGGCGACTGGCAGCAAGCGGCGAGTGGCGTGACCACCACCACCACCACTTGAACTCACGGAATTCGCGGCTCACAACTGGGACGCTTCATGCACCGGCGTGTGAATGACACGTGTGTAAGTGTGTGTGTGTGTAGAGTGTGTAGTGTGTGTAGAGTGTGTGTGTGTAGAGTGTATGTGTGTATAGGGAGAGTGTGAGTGTGTGTAAGTAGAGAGCGCCTGTCTGTGCGTGTGCGCGCTTGAGAGTTCGGCTCGGGCGCGCCGTTGGAAATCGTGAAATGTGGAAGGCGTCCGTCCCCCTTATGACTGATCCGCATCCACCACCCCACCCCCCTCTCTCTCCTCCTCCCCCTCCTCCTCCGATGGGCGTCCTCTCCTCGCACCAATCGCCACGTCGTGTGGGTGGAGGCGACGCTCGTCTCACGCTCGTGTTGCGTAGAGAGAACGGGGTGGGACGTGGGGTGGCTGGGTGGGACGCGGGGTGGCTGGGTGGGACGCGTGGTGGCTGGGTGGGTGGGACGCGGGGTGGCTGGGTGGTGGCAGGGTGGGACGCGGGGTGGCTGGGTGGTGGCTGGGTGGGACGCGGGGTGGCTGGGTGGGTGGGACGCGGGGTGGCTGGGTGGGTGGGACGCGGGGTGGCTGGGTGGTGGCAGGGTGGGACGCGGGGTGGCTGGGTGGTGGCTGGGTGGGACGCGGGGTGGCTGGGTGGGTGGGACGCGGGGTGGCTGGGTGGGTGGGACGCGGGGTGGCTGGGTGGTGGCAGGGTGGGACGCGGGGTGGCTGGGTGGTGGCTGGGTGCGACGCGGGGTGGCTGGGTGGGTGGGACGCGGGGTGGCTGGGTGGGTGGGACGCGGGGTGGCTGGGTGGTGGCAGGGTGGGACGCGGGGTGGCTGGGTGGTGGCTGGGTGGGACGCGGGGTGGCTGGGTGGGTGGGACGCGGGGTGGCTGGGTGGGTGGGACGCGGGGTGGCTGGGTGGTGGCAGGGTGGGACGCGGGGTGGCTGGGTGGTGGCTGGTGGGACGCGGGGTGGCTGGGTGGGTGGGACGCGGGGTGGCTGGGTGGGTGGGACGCGGGGTGGCTGGGTGGTGGCAGGGTGGGACGCGGGGTGGCTGGTGGTGGCTGGGTGCGACGCGGGGTGGCTGGGTGGGTGGGACGCGGGGTGGCTGGGTGGGTGGGACGCGGGGTGGCTGGGTGGTGGCAGGGTGGGACGCGGGGTGGCTGGGTGGTGGCTGGTGGGACGCGGGGTGGCTGGGTGGGTGGGACGCGGGGTGGCTGGGTGGGTGGGACGCGGGGTGGCTGGGTGGTGGCAGGGTGGGACGCGGGGTGGCTGGGTGGGTGGGACGCGGGGTGGCTGGTGGTGGGACGCGGGGTGGCTGGGTGGGTGGGACGCGGGGTGGCTGGGGTGGGTGGGACGCGGGGTGGCTGGGTGGTGGCAGGGTGGGACGCGGGGTGGCTGGGTGGTGGCTGGGTGGGACGCGGGGTGGCTGGGTGGGTGGGACGCGGGGTGGCTGGGTGGGTGGGACGCGGGGTGGCTGGGTGGTGGCAGGGTGGGACGTGGGGTGGCTGGGTGGTGGCTGGGTGGGACGTGGGGTGACTGGGTGGGACGTGGGGTGACTGGGTGGTGGCAGGGTGGGACGTCGGGGTGGCTGGGTGGGGAGCGGGGGTGGCTGGGTGGTGGCTGGGTGGGACGCGGGGTGGCTGGGTGGGACGCGGGGTGGCTGGGTGGTGGCTGAGTGGGACGTGGGGTGACTGGGTGGGACGTGGGGTGACTGGGTGGTGGCAGGGTGGGACGTGGGGTGACTGGGTGGGACGTGGGGTGACTGGGTGGTGGCAGGGTGGGACGCGGGGTGGCTGGGTGGGACGGTGACAGAGACGTTGACGTGGGGGCAGTGGCGCAGCGGTGAATGGGGGGTGAGTTGGTTATCTGATAAAGCGATCCTGGGCTGCTCTAAGCTCTCCTCTCTGAAAAATGTTCCGAATAGACACACACTTGGTGGGTGAAGTATGGTCAAACAAACTCCAACGACTGACACGACCGTGGAAAGGCATTTATCCAGACGAGGGGGGGGGGGGTATAAGGGCCAGGGCCAGTTCAGATATCACTTATCCACTCATGTTATCCGTGGTCGGGAATGCAACTTGGGCGGGCGGGTTCATTGCGGAATGCGTTTACATATGTGCGTAACGAAGGTGTGTGTATATAGAACCTTAATGGGATAATCCATGGATATTTCATTGATTTATTTTGCTTAAACCAGGCACATGCGCAACATGTATATAATAAAATATGATTCTGCGCACACGCACATTTACTGCGGGTAATTTATATTTTAACTGCAACGCTATTAACGTCAGACTCAGACTTTATTTCAGCGAATTAGGTACATTGAGATAAGCAGCTCTTTTACAAGGTGCGACAGCAGCCCCCTACACTGTCGGCAGTGGCAGCAGTGAAAGGGCATTGCGGGGAGGTAACGCACAAACGAGATGCCAGTTTCGAATATATTCAAAAATATAAAGTAACAGCTCCTCTATGACGGGTAAGTAGGGTCGATGGTGTGGAGGGACATCACTATTTCGAGAACACTCCCATGACACACACACACGCCATTCTATAACACTCACACCGAGAATTCCTGGCAGTGCCCTCTAATTCACCGGACACTGACATAATGAGTCCTCTGGCCAATTGAATGTCTCGTGGCCACCCCACCACCGCGTGCCCGCAGTGGCGGCGACCCTAAGAGGTGCTCGCAAATAGCACTTTCCCCAACATCATTGCATAAGCAACACGGGGGGGGGGGGGGTTCTTTGTGGAGTGGCTGTGGTTTTTATTTGGCACTCCGGTGACGCGCACTGTGAGCCCACCAAACTACAACCCCGGTAACGTGGGTTCGATTTTCGACCACGGCTAATAATATATTATTGGCGAGTGATATCTTAACCGGTTCTAATCCCTCCCCTTGGTCTGTTCAGTCATTAAGTAACCTGGTGCGATGTGTAAACACGAGCAGTGGGGAGACAAAGGCGGTCCGAAAGTGGTGATGGCCGTACCACGTCGCCCTTGTACGCCGTCCTGGTGGCCTTCATTGGTGGCCACTAATAACGCTTTCCACAACAGCCTGTGCGACTATACACGGAGACCTTTGTATTTGTTATAGCTTTTAACGCACCACTAAATTGTGAACCATATCTCATAAATACTCTCTGTAAATGTTATAGAGGGGAGGCAGCATCACGATGTAAACAAAGGAACACATCAAAGAGTGGGTTTGGGAAATATTCCGTACACAAGATCACCTATATTGCCTTGTGTTGAATCCCAATGATGATAGGTATGTGTAGTCCTAAAATATTTACACTGTGTGCGTGACTGTGTTTTGTTACAAACTCCCATGGCCATTTGGTGACACTCATATTCATCACGCGGAATGCGCGCCAGAGATCTCTGAAGCTAAATGAGGGTTGAGTCTGGATGGCTACCGGATGGGTTGACCATATTGTGCAAAAGATAGGTGCAATAGAAATTACGGACGCAAGAAGGCATTGCAGAAAGATCCCACGGTTGGTTTGCATTCCCTTGTCCCATCTTCACCAACCCGCACTGACCGGCGTGGTTGATGTATGGTCAAATATCTCCCATGGCTCGCAATGCGTGGTGGAATGGCCCCCTCTCTCACCCAGCAGTGAATTTACTAAATTGGGCCGGACATGTCATTCATACCCAATGTGTCCTTTTCGACAAAAAATGTAGTTACATTTTATGGAGAGAGAAAAAAAACCGACACAAAGCGTTTGCAATTCACGATGTGTACAAAAATACACAATTGCGCGAAAAAACTATACAAAGTCGGTTTAACTTAAAGAAGAAAAAAATACAAGTTCCCTGACCGGGAATCGAACCCGGGCCGCGGCGGTGAGAGCGCCGAATCCTAACCACTAGACCACCAGGGATCCTATACACCGTCCAGGCAGTACTCTATGTATAGAAAATTCTAACATGAGTATATGGAAAAAAATCGTCATTATAACGATTACTATAACATGTAAGACTGTTATTTTGCTGAAAGTTCTACAAGATACAGACGCAAAGTTCGTAGCGCGAAGAGGAAATGGCAGCGTGAATGGGAGATGGAGGATCATGGGATAGTGGAGCTCAGTTTCGCCCCCTATAGGACGCCAAGGGTGATGATGACTCCAATAATTGACACGTGCATCCCTCCTGTCAGATGGATTGAGACCATTCTTTCTGCCTTCCTCACGCCATGCGAGTTATTGGGCCATATTTCATTCACCACGCTGGTTAATATGGGTTCGTCTAAGCGAGGGGGCTTATTACAATGTCCAATCCACCAGTGGAATTGGTTGGGCTGCCCTCTGATGCGCACAACAGCCTACAAACATTGACATAGATTTAACAACACACAAAGGCGCCAGGCATTGCACGTATCAAAAACTATTCGGCCATATCCAAACCACCAGCTCAACGTCACTGCATGCATGTTGTAATTTATTCGCTTAGAATGTATCCCACCAACTTCAAGGAGCTGAGAAAATGTGGCCACATCCCAACGGGTAACAAAGACTTTAGACCCGGTTACACCCTCATTAGGACCCATGAGTAGGGTACAGAAATCAATGTTGACCACGGCCACTTGCCTCTGGGAGAATCCACATGTGTTCATAATGATTACATTGGTCCCAAAAACAACGTAGAAAGTGGAATAACTGAAAATAAAATTCGACAAAAAAAATCAAGTTCCCTGACCGGGAATCGAACCCGGGCCGCGGCGGTGAGAGCGCCGAATCCTAACCACTAGACCACCAGGGATCCTGTACACCGCCCACGCAGTGCACAACATCTCTGGTGAGCTTCTGAGATTCGACAAGATGTGTATGTGCAGGACCATTGAACTTCTTTCACGCAGTACGTAGTGTGTATGTTGAACTTATTTCGTACCGTACGTAGCTAACCGCGCTAATCCGGCGGGGGGGTGGGGGGGCAAACTGAACACGAGCAGTTATAAAGAAATTAGTTTTATACCTGTGAACCAAGGCCGTAGCCATGGAGGGAGTCAACATTGGGGGGGACCAAATGTTCCAGGGGGTCTGGGGGTCCCCCCCCCCCAGAAAAAAAAATCTAAATTTGAAAACTCATTTCCTGCCTAAAATATTTAAAAATTCACTAACACATTGGATGGATTTTTTTTTACAAGAATGTCTCATAGTGTATTGTATTACATTGCTTTGTTTTTCTTCTTTTCCTTTTCTTGTTTCATTGTATGTAA